ACAGCCAGAACAAGCAACATTGAGATCCCCAGCCCTTTTCTGGGAGGTATTGGCAGGGGCCAATGAAGAGGGAAAGAAAAAATGTTAGCTTGAGAAAAAATGTATGGCTGCAGAGGTGACAAGAGGCACCCCACAACATGGGACAGTGCAGAAGATAATGAGAAGAACTGGTCTGGATGGAAAGTGTGAGGGAATAAGAGACTCTGCTGCCACAAAGCTCTGCCAAACTCTCCCTGTCCTAAAAATGCCCTGAGCCCTCTTCATGCCTCTGTCCCCTTGTCAGCTGCCAGAAGACCCCCCACCCCTAGTCCCACAGCCAAAGGGCCCTTGCAGTCACTTCCCAACCCTCCTGCCCCAGAGGACCTGTGATTGATCTCAGTGCCTCCTTGTCTTCCCCTCTGCAATCTCCATAACTGTCTCATTTTGCCACATCAGTATTTCTTTCTGTCATTGCTAAGAAGCCTCCAGCCTCTCTTTGTTATTAGTTCAAACCAGATCTTCAGAGCAAGCTACTAGAACTAACCACAGAGAGAAAAATCTTGGAATACAAAAATCTGAATTATGAAGAGGCCCTAAAGTATAAATATTCAAGGTGGACATGTAGATTTCCTATGAGTTAATGCAGTATTCTTAACAGGCTTACTTTGAACTGACCAAAAATTCAAGAAAAAATGTAAATCTCACTGGCATGAATGATAGTTTATTTTTCACCACATCGAGTTTAAGCAAACTTCCCTGCAATTTTTGCATGTTCATAGTTATGGAGAATGGGTCTCATTCCAGTGCCTGTGTGTTTTACTTAGAGCAGCTATTAACTTCTCACTTCTTAAAGCCTATTTTACTACAGCATGAAACACACTGATAAAAGATTGATTACTCAATCCAACATTGAAATTGTATATAAAATTCCAAAAGGTTGACATGTATTTACTTTGTACTCTTCTTTCCACTCATAGTATTATCCAGTATGATCAACACTACTCATCTCCCTGGTTTCTATCTGCTGTTAATCATGAATAGTGTGCCTGACATCTACCCTCGAAGGCTAAATCAATCAGTGCTGCATTAAAACAATGCCTGTGCAGATTAATGGTAACTTGGAAAAGTTTCTTTTGTAAGTCTCACAGTACCCCAGTACCACATAAACTAGAGAGAAGGAAAAAGTGTCTCAAGCCATTTTGTCTATGCCCCTACAGGTCTAAGTTTTCTTCTACCATATATTGCATTTTTCTGCAGCAAATCCAGTTCTAAATGATGCAACACGGGAGCCTTGCAGGGCTCAGCCTATTTTTATGGGCAAAACCAGGGAGGAAATGTCAAGCCTTGATTACTGGGGGGGGGGGGGGGGAGAGAGTGGTATTTACCAAAGCAATATATATTACCATGGTGCAGCAACCTCCTAACAATTTTCTGCTTATCCCTAAATTTTACTCTGGACTAGTAGTATTGGCTATTTACAAGTAGACCTGCCTGATGGAGCCATCTCCAATCCAAAGATCTGAGCTTGGTTGCCATGGGTGGTCAAAGAGGTGCAATAGATTCTCCAGGCAGAGGATGCACAGCAGCCATCAAACCCTACACCCCGATATGCTCCAGCCAAGGATGTGCTGCAGAAGGACAGAGTGCTGAAGCACATGTGTCTCTACCACTAAAAATTCCAGTTCTATAGGTTATGTCATTTTGTGTAACTGGGGAAGATAAACTCTCCAACAGCCTCCTTGTGACCATCACCCTGGCACAAATGGCAAAGTTGGCCTTCCACTCCTTTCTGCTCACCCTTCCTAAAGCCCACATCTTCAGATACTTCAGGTACCCACTACTGTGCTAATGGGCAGATTTTGCACATTTTCAACACACAATTTGGATCAACAGAGCTTTGAAATGTGTCAAGGGCCTCATGGCACTAACAAGCCTTTAACCGGTCCCTTCCCACAGCCCAGGAACCCATGTCAGCCCCCTAGGGCTGTCATCCCCTGCCCCAGCTCCCCAAAGCCCAACCCTGCCTGCCCATGGACCCCATAGAGCCAGGCCCATGTTGCAGCCTGGCCTCAGCCCATCCCCAGGGAGGTGCCTGATGTGCAGGGCTGGGGCTGCCCTGGTGCCCTCAAACATTCTGCTCCCAGCTGGGGCAGTGGGACAGGCCAGGCCCATCCCTGCCACCCCTCCATGGGGAGCCCCTGATGCTGTGCCCTGACAAAATTTGTCCTTTCTGATGATTCAGAGAAACTCTGACATGGTCCAGTGCAACAAATCAACATCATAAAAACCAAAAGCAAAACATTTTATAAGGCACATCTTGATCTCTTCAAGCACTCTAGCCTGCCACACCACTGTGGGTGTGATGGGAGGCAGCTGAGACTAGCTCAGTTGGTTAGAGCACGGTGCTAACAATGCTAAAGTCAAGAACAGTTTGATCCCCATAAGGGCCATTCACTTAAGAATTGGACTTGATGATCCCTGTGGGTCTCTTCCAACTTGGAATATTCTGTGAGAAGGAAAAAGCAGAAGATGCCCCAGGAATAGCACATCTTCAGCAGGTTTACTGGGCTCAGCTCACGTCATGCCAGGTCAAAAAAGAGAAAAAAGGTGGAAACAAAGACATGTTAATAATACAGATGACTAAGAGCACTGAAAAAGCATCTCTTTTCATAAAAAGACACCGGAAAGATTGAGCCAGCTTTATTCAATGCCTCTCTAAAATAGCAAGAGCAGAACACAGGGACACCAATTACTAACAAATAGAGACAACCTAGAAATAGAGGTTAGGCCTTGTCTGTTCCCATTCTTATAGAACAGGGATGTTCAAAAACCTTAAGTCATCCTTTTTGGGACTGAGAAGTTAATTTCACAAGTAGTTGCGGGAAGTAAAGAATGTGGTAAAATTTTTAATATAAATAACATATAAATTGATAATAACAACACAAAGAATAACACAATAAAAGAATAAAAATTGAGCAAAGCAGCAATATAATTGGTTGATAAACTGGGCTGATAATTGGACCAGGCAAACCCTTGTTAAATGCAGTAGGACAAATTACGCATTTCTAAGTATGTTTAAGAACTGAATTATATTCCGAGTAATTTCCAAGATAACGATCACAGCCAAGATACAGATAAATTAAACCAAAGCATTCTGCCTCATGGACTCCCTGAGAAACACTTGTATTACCGAGGATCTGAAGAAAACAACGTAATACAATTTGCATAACTGTACTTCAAAACTGACCTCAAATCTCCTAAAATTTACACATAAGCCAATTTACCAGTTGTGATGGTGCCAAACCAAGATGTGATGTTCTTGAACAGATCATCTATAACTGTTCTTAGACTTCAATGGCAAATGCAGTTTGAGCAGAAAGAAGAATCACAAAATCTACTATAAAAGCTTGGCATGTGAGTGAATTACTATAAATGGATTACTGAGCCATGTTTACCTTACAAAGCTGGTTCTTCGATATGCATGATCATCATCAAGAGTGCGAGTTCACAGGCTGGCCTATTGGTAGCCTCTGCCACCCATGGAGCCTTTAAGGGACCTGAAGAGGTTATTTAATGTCTCTGACAACAGGAAGCCACAATCACCTTTGTCATTAGGATTTCCAGTAAGTGATTGTTTGGACAATCAATGCTCAATTACCTGTACAGTTACACGGGACTTTCGCTACTGATTTAACCCAATGTGTCCTGCAGCAGCTCAGCATGCTGGTTCTTGTTATGTCTCCACTGGATGTGGAGAAGAGTTTGCTTCCCACCACTCTGCAGCAACCAATTACACAGCTCAAGATTGTTATCACATCTCTCATCAGTCTTTGCTTCCCTAGACTGCAACATTCCAGTTCTTTCACTGTCTTCCTATAGGTTATGTTCTCTAGATCTCTGAACACCTTTGCTACTCATCTCCTAACTGGTACGACTCTGATGGAACCTTGGTGTCCAGAATCCTAGGTAGTACTGATACCTGACACAGACCCTAAAGTCACAACTACCAGGAAGTGCAACACTCCTGTTATGCATCCCCGAATATATTTGTCTTGATTTTGCACATCTTTAACATGCTGGATCCTATCAAAGTCTTCACGCTGAAAACTAAATTTCCTAAGGAAACTGCTTAACACAGTTCTTAAAATAAATATTTTATGCTCATCCTTTAGTTCAGTATTATGCATTTGAATAAATATTTGAGTGATATTGTATAATTAGCACTCCCACAATAAATAAGGTTTGAGGAAGACTTCCAAGTTTACTAATTGTAACAGACTCAGAAGGCTTTCTCAGATGCCTGAAAGCTGGAACATTTTCAGAATCAACCAGTGGACTGGTTTTCCAGCATGTGAAGTTCTCAAACCAGAGACCAGATCCTTTCAGCACAGCAAGTAGCATGTACAGCTAAGCCTTACACAACTGAAAAGCAGTAATCAGAAATGGCCCACAGAACAAATTTCTCTTTCCAGGTACAGAAGCAAGTATAATTGCAGTTATTACAAACCCTTCTACTTTACCGATTATTCTAAAGTCTGTACTCTCTTGCCACAAACTACTGAAAAAGTTGATCCGCAAAGCCATTAACTTTGTGCAAGACCAACGTGATGAAAGAATAAAGCAGGTTTCCATACAGCACAGAAGGACATAGCGAGATATAAATGATTTCATCTCGTGCCAATAAACTAAGCAAGGATATCATGCTAGTCCAACCTGCTGCACGCACTGCAGTCAAGTTACAAAAAACTCCTCATCAGTGACACAGTCCAAGGTCAGCTCCCTGCTGACTTCGAAGGCACAATTTTCCTTATCTCAGCCCCGCGGCTCTCCGGCGCCCACGGTCCCCACGCCCGGCTACCGCGGGGGCAGCCCGGCTGCGGGGAGGTGGCAGAGGCCGCCCCGAGGGCTGCACCTGCCCGTGCCCCTCCCCGGCTGCCCCTCCAGCTGCCCCGCGGGCAAGGGAAGCCCCGCAGGGATGCAGCCCCCCGGGGAGCCCTCCTGCCCCCGGGAGCCCCGCTGACCTGCCGGCGGCCACACGTCGCCCCTCCGTCGGCCGCGGTGCCGCACCTGCCGCAGGCTCCCCTCGCTGCTCTGGTGCGGCTCTGTCCCACGCCCGCCCAGCCACGGCCGCCCCGGCCCCGCACCGCCCGCAGGAGCCGCCCCGCGGCAGCACCGCCCCCTCCGGTCCCGCGCCCTGGCACAGCCCTGCCTGGGCTCCGGCCAGCGCAGGACGCGGCCGGGTTCGCAGCTTGGCTGCTCCCCGCCGCACCTCCTGTGCACCCCTGCCCCCCGAAGTGCCGCCCCCGCCGTCCCGCACGGTCCCCGGTAAGGGGTCTAATAGGCTTTCCCCGGTTTGTGAGACAATGCCGACCGCCGGCTGCATCGGGGATTAGCAAACTGTTGGATGCAAGAGGGAAAGGCCAGTAGTTTGAAATAGCTTGGTGATGATGTCCCTTTCATTTCAGAAGTGCTTGGTTTTCGGAGCTTAATGCAAGATTTGGTACTACTTGGCCATGTCCCTCAGCGCTCCTGTTGCACGTGGTTTTACCCTTTATTAAGTGAACCTGTCCCACAAACCTCCAGTAATCAATCACACATCCCTTTCCTCTGTGTCTGCAGTACCATCACCCATACCAGAGCTCAGAAGCAGAAGCTCTGTTACCGTCCATTCAAAACTACTTCCTCCCTTCCCCGCACATCTTTGGACAACACATGCTGCAAGGTGTTGCAACCGAGGGATCCAGATCTAATCCTGCAGCTGCAAAGGCAATGCCAACATGGATATCTTGAATAAATTCCTACCCATCATCCAGCACTTCTTTTCCAGGTGAAGGGGAAAAATGTCTTTTGTGAGTCCTGGCTTCAGTGACTGTTGTGTTCAGGAGTCAGACTGGTGGGAACACTTTGGGAACTGGATGACCAGACAGTGAGCACGTGACTTTCATATGTGGAGAGGTGTTACTAAAGACAGGAGCTGGTGTCCCTCATCACTTTCACACAAAGTTCAGGAACCTCCCTACTTGAGAGAGGTGTGGCAAGCCTGCCTGGCACCGGCGAAGCAGTATATAAAACCTCTGGGGCCACTCCCTAACTATTGCTTATTCACAGGTTGTACCTAGATGATGTTCCTCATGTCTCCCCCTACACCTCCATGAAGGTTTAGGGGGAATCTTGGAGCTGTGTCACATGGGCCCTGTCCCTTGTGAAAGAATGCATATGGAGAAAACCATTCATTAAATAAATGCCTGCCTACAATGGGTCTGAGCCTGATAGGGTAGGAAGGGGAGTGCAGCTTCCCTAGTTCTCTGTGAATAAGACACCTACGTTAGGAAACAGTGTGGGTTATGGATGCCAGCAGTCCCAAGCAGAGGCTCCTTGCTCTCATACTCAAGGTCCTTACCCCCTCTGCCACTACCATTTTCAGGATTTGAGGTCAGCTTGTTTTCTTGATACTAAATGTGCTTCTCCAAGGCATTGTGGACTATTTGCACTGTGGGCACAGCAGTACCCACGACCCTTTCATCTATTTTGTGATCAGGGTGCACATTACTAAGAGACCTGATATACCCTCTTTCCATAGCTCTTTCCTGCTTGCCTTATACCCAGGCCTGCCTAAAAGTTTGTGTTTGCATAGTTCATTCAGCCAGGAGACAAATCTGGGTTCAAGCGTAGCCCTGATATGCTTTAACATGTTGTTTCTTTTGATGATTGCTGAACAGCAGCAGATTTTTGTGAATGAATAAGGCAGTGCCTGTGTTGCCTACTCACACACAAAATTCAGGCAAACACCTCCACACTTCACAGAAAGAACTGTCAACTTCCAGTTAAGTGCAAATAAGACAGAAATTTTAAAAATCATCCTGCTGTTGTCTGCCTACTCAAACACAGGAAAGGATCAAAAGATGCTTTTCGTTCTAAATTGTATCCCAGACAGGCACTATTTGGGCACATCTGAAAGGAATATCTTTGATAGTGATTCCTTGTTTGCCATCCTCACTCTGACCACATTTGGAAAAGTGAGCACTCAGCAATAAACCAATGTATATCTCAGTTTATGATGATGCAGTTTGATTGCTGTCAGTGAATTCATTCATATGTATGTGTGTGTATATATAACGCTAAGGGTACACAAGTGTATTTTCTGTATATTTTTTTCCAATTTAGAAGAAGAGCCTCTAAAAGAGAGATATTTAAGGGATTCTGTGAATGAATTTTCATAGAGTAGACAATACCTATTCTAGCTTAAAAACTTCATGAAAAAAATTAATAACTTTTAACAAACTACAGAGTACATAATAGCAAATGCCAACTCTAAAAGGGTTTAACTCTAACAGAATCAATATTTTTCAAAGTGTAGCATCTCTGGCTCATTGTTTATATGAAGAGAATATTTATATTGACATCAGTTTCCCACCATTTGTGTCCAGTGCGACTCCTTAAACATTAATCATTTATAAGCTTTGACTATGTTCTGATTAACAAATCTATGTCCTGGGAATCAATTTAGAAATGCTATATGTATAAACTTTGCCTTCAGCTGCATCTACAATTGAGTCTGAAAAACTGCAGTAGTAATGCAGCGATCTCAATTGCAACTAGCTGTCATATGACTTAAATCTACCAGTGATCACCCAGGCTTCACTAAAAATTCTTTTCTTTAACTTACACAAAAAATGGGATAGAAGGGTCAGTATTTTTAGCCCATAGGCTGTTCATGTTAGGAGATGATGCACAAAGTGGATGTGAACACAGCCCCAAGTAGATTGTTGTGTTGCCATTATGTTTATTCATTCATTTAGATTTTCCTATCATTAAATTATTAAAATGGTGAATTTTTAGCTGATTGCATATCAGTAACATTTTATATTGTTTCCTAACGATGAGTCGGAAGAGGGGGAAAACCCCATTCTTATGTAAAACATAAATTGATGTGGTGCCCAGTGGGGCCATGCAAAAATGAAATTTAATGAAAATGCAAACTAAAGTCTAAGGACAAATTGCATCCAAATTAGTCATTTTGAGGTCTCTGCTACATTCCTGTCTAGCTTCAGGCAATTAAAAATTGTGTCATCTTTGTCCCACGCTTAATGCCTTTCTTTGTCTCATGATTCTGTGGTTTTAAATTAAGTTTCTGGTTATTCTAGAAACAAGTTGCATTGGCCAAGGCTATGTAGATACAAAATTGTTTCCTTGTGGAAACTCTTAGACATTACACTAAGATAAATCTATATTACCTAAATATATTGAAGATTCAAGTTTTACTGCCTGAGATTAAGTCCTTTTCAAAACCTATTCTTCTGTGTCTATTGTCCTGCTGAAATAGAAATCACATTCTGTAGCCCTTGTTTTTCCTTGCTCAAGAAAAATTTTAATTTTTCCATTTTTTCCCCAGTGAAGTTTTAAGGGATAGGATAGATAGTATCATAGCTGTGCTGCATTAACTGAAAAGTTTGTAAAACATAAAATGTACATTAATAAACAGTTCATTATTACATAGGCTTGCTTCTGTAATGATTTGCACACTAGTAGCTTTACGTGGTGTGCATATTGATGTGTGTATTAGTGTTTGTATGGCATAGTCCTGAAGATATCAGTCTTGGAGGTAATGACTCATCATTGGAGAAATCATATGAAGATCAATTCTCCCAAGCCCCAATTAACCATCCACAATTTCCTCTTCTTCCCTCACAAAGGCAACAGAGGGCCCTCTCCCATGTCCTTCAGTGATCGACAGATGGAGCAGATGAAGCGGAAAGGTACAAAAGATTGGGTGTGAAACAGCATCTTTTAAATTCATATACTGTTCTGAATAATGGTTAAAAAACCCCACATACTTAGATTATTTCCAATTAATAATTTTCAGGTCATATAATTTGATTTACAAGTTAATTTACATCAACTTCTGTATTTGTTACTAGTGATCTCATGCAAAATATCTATCATACTATCTATCTGTCATGATGCTAATAATGCCAAAGTTGCAGGTTCATAAACCAGTATAGGCTATTTGCTTAAGAGTTGGACTTGAGGATGCTTGTGGGTCCCTTCCAACTCAGAATACTCTGTGATTCAAGATTAAGAGTATTTTTTGCTAGCTTCAAACATCATTTCTGCTTTTCAGGTTTGTCTGGCCTGAAGTTTCAGTGAAATTCTGTGCCTATGATTATTTTTATCCATCCCTACAATCAGCCAGTAAATACTAGGAAGCCAACCGGGAACCAGTAATCTCAGAGATAAGTGCTGATGCTGAACCAGCTCAATTTACACCTGTGTATGATAGATAATTCTCATGGGATCAACCCCATTCTGGTGAATACCAATACTTCTTTACACCTCAGCAGATGCCCAATACATAAAGTGTACTCACACTTCTGATAATCATATGCTTGCCTGTGAATGCCAAATTTAGTAAGAGTTTTGGCTGTCTTTAGGACACCAGGATCACACCTCACACCTTAATGAGGGTGCATTCTAGACAACTTCAAACTGTGTAAGTGTCGTGAATGAGTGTTTTAAGGTTGCTTAAGGAATCACCGGCAAAGGTATCAGCAAAACCAGGTTTAATATAAAAGCGACAGCACAACCAAGTTCTTAGATCACAGTGTGACCTGGAAAGGAGGAGTGGGGAGATGCAGGGAGGGGTGCATAACCACAGTAGGAAAACCTAATAAATACGGGACCTGTAGTAGTCACATCACTTAGAATTTATGCTATGGAAAACTAGCACTGCAAGACATTTACTTAATTATGCTGTCAGCAACCATATTACATTCTTAAACCATCTCTGCAAGAGCAGGTTTTATTTTAAGGGACAGAAATTCAACAACCTTATGGCAAACCAATGTTTCTGTATTTTCCATCAATTCTCCAATAAACGTACTTTGGTTTACCATATTGGCATAGTCAAGATTCTGAACTGAATTCTTCATTATCATGGTGAGAGCAGGGACTGGGGTCTGATAAAAGAGAAACTAGAGCTAATGTGTGAGAATAAACAAAAATAGTAGTTGGAGCCCAGGATTTGCAAAACAGAAGCTTCCAAAATCTCTGTCATTTAAGCTATTGCTTTAAAAAAATATGATT